AAACAATAACCATTGATAATTTCCTACCACTTTGTCTGTAATTTGGTAAGCCCCCCTATTATTATGTTATCCTTCTTTTACTCTTTAAAATAAAAAAAAGGATGAAAACAGCCAAGTTCAGCAGGTAAGACAGCATTACAATCTCCTCCAACAGAACCAACAGCTCCTTACAGCTTCCACCAGCTCCCAACAGCCTCTCTCAGCTCCCAACAGCCTCTTAATTCCCAAAAGCCTTTTTTCTTCTTCTCCCGTCCTGCCTCTAATGCTGCTGGCAACAGTCCCCAGGTGGGCCTTCCACACCCAGCACCATGCTTACTCAGTTCAGCTGGGGTTATAAGTTGACCACCAGTTATCAATCCACTACAACCATGTTATTATGTTATAAATTTCCTTCTGGTGAACTTGAAGTCTTCATCACCAATTATATTTTCTTTACACCATCACACATTTGTATTATAAAAATGACCTACTGACAATGAGCTCATGAGACTTAACCATAGCCTTCCTAGAGATTGGTCAAGGGAAGGGGGACATTGACTCCTTTTGTGCGCTGGTGCTTTTTATAGAGATAAAGGGGGCACTCCTTGGTATCAAGAAAGCTCTGGTTTCTTTAGTCATTCAATTGAAATTCAATACATTTCAACAAACATTTTTGATTCCATCTAACTCATCAGGTTCTTTCCCATTTGCAAATCCAGGAAGGGATCAAATGGTCTAAGCATCATGTCACTCTTCCTGTTCTAATCCCAAACTTCCCTTAACTAATGACAATACCATATAGCTGGCTGGCAGCATGTCAGAGTGATCAAGGGAGCCTGGTAGCTGTCAGTCTCATACACATGATTTGGCCACAGTTTAAAATAAACATGTCTCTTCCTTCTCCTTGTCCCATGGGATGTGCACTATTTTTTTTAAAATAGTGAAAGCAGGTCATTTGATTCACATAGGTTGGGGTCTGACTTCTGCACCATGGCTCTTAGTTCAGCTGTATATTTATTGCAAAATGCTCCTCTTGTCTTTCTTCTAAGCTTCATGAAGTTTCCCCCAGTGATTCACAGCAGCTCCCCAGTCTCACATTCCCCTGGGTCTCCCCACTACCTACACTCTAGGGATAATATGGCTTTACCAAGACCAACATGTGCAGATTAAGGTCCCATCCTTCTGTTATTACATTTTATTATTATTTTGCAAGGTGGATCAGACCAGGACCTTAGCATTGAGCTTCATCTCCAGCCTTTTAGTACTTTTTTTTATTCTGAGACAGGGTCTCACTAAATTGATGAGTTGCTCAGAGTTGACTTGAACTTGTCACCCTCCTGCCTCAGCTACCTCAGAGTACTGTGTGCATCACCATCCCCAGCACCATTGTCTACTCTGGAAATCACTGCCGTGACTCCTGTCCCTGACTCCTTCCCAACAGTCTTAGCAAAATGGATTTCTTCCCTCTGGAAAACTGACCTTCCAGTGCATAGCTGAGATGCCAGTCTTCCTGCATCACTCATTTTGTCTCTTCCACCTCAAAACCTCTAAACAACTCAGACTCTATACGGTTCTCATCAATCTTTTTTTTTTTTTTTTTTTTTTTTTTTGAGACAGGGTCTTACTATGTAATTCAAGCTGGGCTTGAACTGACTATGAAGTCCAGGCTGGCTTCAAACTCAGGGCAATCCTCCTGTCTCAGCCTCCTGAGTGCTGGGATTACAGGCATGCTCCTCCATGCCTGGCTTTCCTCAGTCTTTGAACATAATTAGCTGGAGTCCCTCCAAAGGAGAGTGTCCCTCAGGTCTGCAAGCTCTCTTTCCTCCTGGCCGCTGTGGTATTGAGTCTGGCTGGACCTTTTCCTGTTTTTTTAATGATTCCTCCTCTGTGGCCTGTATTGATTCTGGCTTTAGTTCATCACTCCTTCCGCACTACTCTTAGTCCCTCATCCATTCATTTATTTGTAATTTATGTCTTCTACGAAGAGGGCCTAGTACTTACCAGGCACCAATCTAGGCAGGAGAACATAACAACACACAGAAACAACAAGGGCTGCTTTCATGGAGCAGAAATGTCCTGATGGGAAGAGACAGAAAATAAGCAAGTACATCAACTAGAATAAAATAAATGTTGACAGTGAATAAAGATCTGAGAAACAGGGTAATGAGTAAAGTAGCTGCAGGTGAGGGAGGTGGGCACTGGCCACTTTAGAAAGAGTGACCAGCACATCTGAGGCAAGACCAAAATGGCAAGAAACCAGTGGCAGGAAAAAGGACATTCCAAGCAGAGAGGACACCGGGTGGAAACACTAAACTAATAATAGTTGGGGAAATCTTGATAAGTTTGAGGCAGATTTTTTAAAAATTAAGTGCAGTTTGAACATTGTGGGCCAGACAGAGAGTAGTAGACGTGTGGAAAGGTAGCTGTGGCTCACTGCCAGCCTTGCCAGGCCAGGGGGAGATCTGCAGATTTTATTGAGGTGCAGGGAGATGCCACGGGAGGGCTTTAAGCAACTAAGCACGCTTGGCTCAGTGTACACAGGTTTTGCATCCATAAATTCCACTAACTCTGGAAATAATAGAGTGTCTGTATTGAATCTGTGCAGACTTCTCTTCTCTTAATTGTTCCCCAAATAATATAGTATAACAACAATTTTCATACTTTGTACTAAGTATTGTAAGTAATCCAGAGATGATTTAAAGTACATGAGAGGATGTGTGTACTTATGCGCAAATAGTATGCCATTTTATACAAGGGACTTGGCATCCTTGAATCTTGGTATCTGGAATCGTTTCTCCGTGGACACCAAAGGACAATGTATAGAATATAAAGAGTGTTGTGTATATCATTTGGAAAATAGTTTGACCCATGAACTGTAAGGACAGGATGGTCATCCGTGGAAAAGACCAAACACCAGCAAAAAAGAATTGAAACAAAAATAGCAAGAGATGACTTAATTATTTTAAGTGTAAAAATTCTCAAAAGTCAGGCATATTGGTGCATGTTTGTAATCACAGCTACTTGCGAGGCTGAGATGAGAGGATTGCAAGTTTGACGCCAGCCTGAGCAACACAGCAAGGCAGTCTCAACCAAAGCTAACGTATTTCAGGAAACCTCAGGTATTTTCAAAAGTGACTGAGAACCACTGTAAAAAAATCAAGGAAAACAGCAGAAGATTGAAGAGAACAAATGCTGCTTTTTTAAGAGGAGAGGATGTGAAAAGTGGCTTATAGGAACCAGAGGAAAATATATTTTTTTCCAAAACCTCTTATAAAAGCTTCAAAGTCACTATTTAAAATAGGGTTGAGGGCCAGGGATATAGCTCAGTGGCATAAGTGCCTGCCTGGCAAGCATAATGTCCTGAGTTTGAATCCTGGTACAAAAAAAAAAAAAAAAAATAGGATTGAAAAACAGAAGACATGACACATATTAAGAATATGTATAAATGGACCTAAAATTTGTAAAGCAAAGCTAATCCTGATGTGGTAGTTTGGATGGTGGTTGATAAAATCATCAGCCTGAAAAATCTCAGTCACTTTTAACTTTAGGTTCTTCATTCCATTTTGGAATTGTTTGAAATGTATTGCTGAAAATTTGTTTCCATGTAAATGTAAGTAAGTGACCCTACTTCTTTCCTCTGCATTATTACAAATCTGCTTCCTCTCACATATGACTTCTATTTAAATTTTCAAAATGTGTTGTGCTTTACCTATGGAAAGTAGACATGTCTGAGTGTTTATGAGGGAGCAATTGTACTAAAGTTTAATTAGTGGCTCATTGTCAAGATAGATTTTAGGAGCATGCCAAAGGAATCTTTGTTTTTGTTTTTCCTATTCATTTTTTAAAAACTCATTTTGGATCACCTGATTACCTAGTCCAGAGGTAAAGCTGAAGAAGAGAGATATACTGGGTGATTGGGTCACAGCTCCATAAAAATATTAATAGAATTGTACAGTACTTGGTTGAAACCAATCCATGTTAATAGCAGTACATGCAAAGTTTCATAATAAAATTTCCAAAATCCACTGTATAATTACAAAATCATTCTACAACAGGTCAAATGAAAAATGCTGTGGGGTTTTAACTGAACACAAGCTCATTATGACTAAGAAGCAAATCAAGCGTATTTAAACTGATACATCCTCAAGCCAGCATGGCCATGACTCCATTGGATTTGTGCTGATTAGACCACACAAGGACCTCTGGTCTTTTTGAGAATTATGCTGATAAACTAAAAATCTTCCTGAGAAAGTGACCAGGGTGGCTTAACATTGGAGGCGGAAAGTAACTCAGGAAGCTTAGCCCCAGATTTTTAGAAAAGTCCTTGTGATAGCAAGGAAGAAGGAGAGGTTTTTTTAAGGAGGAAACAATATTAGGAGCACTTAATGGAATTTGGGGAAGGGTGTACACTGAACTTAAAAGAACTTCCTTAAACATTAAAAGGGATGAACTTGCAGAGTAGTAAGCTCTCACAAAGAAAAAGGTCAAGCACGTTGATCAGGAACGTCCTCGGGGATGTGAGAATTGGAAAGGAGGTCAAGTCGACTTTAACTTTCCATGCAAGTAGAACATAGTATGCTGCAAGAGTTGATCCCCAGACAACACAGTTTATGGCCTGGTGGCTCCTTGCCCAGGAAGCCCTCACTGGTGACATTCTGTTGCTCTGTGTGATGTGTCTGGAGGGAGAGTTTCCTGTGCCTCTAGGCTCAGCTGTTACGCCGTGCTCCCGTTTGGATATCGGTGTTAAGCTTCCCCTTTTAGCAAGAGAGCAGGAGCGGGGATAAGAAGAGGGCGGCAGGTCTAGGCTTTTGTGCCAGTCTTTATTAATCTCTCGTTTCAGTTCCAGGCATTCCTAATCTCTGATGTCAACTTGAGTTTATAACCGAGTTCATCGGTTTAGGTTTCCCTTCCCGAAACTGGGAGGGGACACAAGCAGCTGCTGGGACTGGGGAGTGGCTAGTAGTTGGAAAGCCAACCACAACCTAATTGCTTTAATTTAAAAAGAAGAAAAGTTAGTGCAACAAGAGGGCTACACAGAACCTGGAAAGGGAAGGCGTCCTCTTTGACCTCCACCCCCAGGCTTCTGTAGCTCGGACATCTGGACCGCCTCTCGGGGGATGTGGTGAGCGCGCGCGAACAGGTGTGTCTCACCCTTCCGCACTTGGACCGCCTCGCTCGCTGTGTTCTCAGTGCTGGGACCAATTAGTCAAGGCCAGACAAAAGCTGGACAGGCGGTATTAGAGGGGATGGGCTGGGGCTGGGGTAAGAAGCCGGGAGCCATGTACATTGCAGATGACATCATTGCCTGAAAGAGATTTGGCCCTCCCCTTCCCGGAGCTGGAGGCAAGCACGTCTGTGCGGGGGCTGGAGTGGGGTCACCGCCTGCAGGGTGTGAGCCGCAGGGCGGTGGTGCGGGTTGCTCGGGAGACAGTGAGTGGGCGCGAGGGGGAGTCCGCCAGAGGGAGCCGGCGCGCCGGGAAGCTCCGGGGATCGAGGTGATTGCGCTGCGCCGGGCTCCGCCCCGCTCGGCGGCGCGCTCGGCCCTGGGAGGGGCACGCTGGTTAGGGGTGGGGAGTGAGCGCCCAAGGGGGAGGGTCCGCGGTGGCCTTGGGGCGGAGAGCCGCCTGCGCACACGGCCCGGGGGCTGAGAGGGGCAGCAGATAGCGGGCGCCGCCCCAGGTTCGGCGCCCCGCATCATCCGGTGGCGAGTCCCGGGGAAGGGGCGCCTCCTCGGCTGGCACCCTCCCCTCCGAGATCTCCAGCCCAACGGGATTTGGGTCTCCTTCCCGGCCCCTCCGAGCCTCCTGGGGAGCCGAGAGTGTGAACCCTACCGACGTGCACCGGATTCTGTAGCCCAGACGGGCAGCCCGAGTGGCTTCGCGCGCAGGGACACGCCCAGCGGGAGCCACCGGGCGGGCGCAAGAAGCTGGAGCTCCGGGTCTCGGGGATCCTAGTGGGACTGCAGCTGTTCCTAGGGGAGGCAGAGGTGAATCAACATGGACCCCTTTGGCGGCGCAGTCTCCTAGGCCAGCGTGCAAACCCGCCGAGCGAGCTCTCCGGGCGCCAGCTGGAATTTGAAGTTCTGGGGTGGGCGGGGAAGCTACTGTCCGTGGTGCTGAGCCAGATCCCAGCCGCGGGCTCCGGGGAGAGAGGACGGAGCTGGGGATCCGCTCCCTCGAGCTAGGGAGGTCTGCGCGGTGGCTTCAGCTGCAACCCCCGCCCGGCTCAGAGCGCGCGTAGAGCTTCCCCAGGCAAGGCGCCTGGCCCTTTTTCCTGTCAGAAAGTCGCCCTCTTGGGGCAGTTCGTCCCAAAGGGTTTCCTCGAAAGAATCCGAGGGCGCAGTCCCTGACTGAGGGAATCTCTCTATTTAGCCCCGGAAGCCACCCGCCCAAAAAGATGCCGGCCTTCCACAGTCTGTGTCCCCTGGTTTCTCTCGTGCTCATCTACTGGGGTAAGTACCAGCACCCCGCCATGCGAGCTGCAGATGACAGTAATCAGGCTAATCATAATAACATTCATTGATGTCGTTGACAAAAAAAAAAAAAAAAAAAAAAGGGAGCTCTGGTTTTTTCCTCTGCATGTCTCCCAGGCATAGAGATTTATATGTATTTCATGAGAGCTGGGATTCTGACATTGGAAAGGTGCCTCCCCGACCTTCTCTGGTGGTTTTTCCACCCTTCTTGGTATCCTGACCATTATTTTCCCTTTGTCCCTTTGCCGAAAGGGAATATAGTCACGTTCATGATAAAAAAATAAATAAATAAATCTATCTCCCTTGCAGTTGCATATCAAATAAATCTATCTCCCTTGCAGTTGCATATCATTTGTCAGTGAGGAGCCAGTTCTCCTAGAAAGCTCACTGGGTCTTCAAGTGCAATTTTCTTTATTAAAAAAGAAACCCCAAATCTGTGTGCATGAATTTTGAGAGTGAAAATATTTGTTGATCCATTTGCTTAATTTTAATAAAGAGTGGAAGGAAGTAGGCTTTAGCTATTTGCTGATATGTGTTAAATGAATAGGCAACTGGAAAATGCATCTTTTTTTACATGGACACGTGGAGCCAAGCTATTTTGGTGTTTGGGAGTGTGGGTTTTTTGCCCTCAGAGATGACTAGACTCTTGTTTGCCAGCAGTGACAGGCTGAGATGACCTTCCCCCTCCAGGTAAGGGTCTCCTACATCTGCAACAGTGAGGCTAAGTAGAGCAGTGCCAGGGATGAGCACGGAGTGGAATGCCCAAATGTGTGCACAGGGAATTAAGAGTCCACATGATAATACCTGAATGTGTGTCAGTGTAAGTCTTAGTGTCTGAGTGTGTGTACTAGCATGTATCTGAGCAGTTAGTATGGACAACTGAATGGACTGGTGAGAGTGTAGGCGTGTGTGTGTATGTGTGTGTGTATGTAGTGCAGTTCCTGGCACCTCTGCTCTGCTGTCTCTGACTAGAGCCTCAGATTGAATGTAGGTGCTCTCCAGCTGACAGATTGCTTTATATGATCTTGGCTACCTTCTTTCATGGTAAAATCATGAAAAAGATACTTGGATTGTGCCGACCTCCCTTACTGAAAGTAGGTACATGGGATTCTGCTCCTGTGGTTGGCGTGAAACTCAGTCTGCCTGTGCAGAGGCAGACATGCTGATGAGAATTACCTCTTTGCCTTAGTCTCACTTTGTCAGGCTTCAGAGATGAACTGTAACTCCAGCACTATCTGGACTTTGCATGTGACCAGAGGCAGAGCCAAGCTTCCTGTGAACAAAATGCCTGCTGAGACAGACTGTGAAGGATGAGGAGGGAGGGTAATGGTAGCCTCAAGGGCAGGTTCGCCACCATCCATCCCCCGTAGTCTACACCAGACTTGGAGATGAAGCAGACCTAATAGGTTGCCAATGAGCTCATCTGCCTGGAAGATTAAAGCTTAGATTTGCTCCAGGGAAATGTTAGGGTTATAAAGCTTAGGTGAAGTTAGTCTGATTAGTCTTAGGTTAGAGATAGTGTAAGTAAAGCTGAAGTTGTAGAGAATGGTTGGGGTAAGATCTATAGAAGCTGTCTTTCCAAACTTTAAGTCTTTAGGGTCCCTGCCTGAATTCTACTGGAGAGAGAGAAGCATACTATTGTCAAAGAACTTTTGGGTAGCACTTACAAAGCCTAGCCTGGAGCCTCAGCTCTGCTTCCACCTCACTATGTAACAACCTTGCAGTATCTGGTTCCTTATATGTAGGGTTTGAAAGTTGGCACAGATCTCTAATGTCCTTTTTAGCTTCCCAACCGAATGATAGGGCAATATTTACAGAATAGTACTAGAACTGACAACGTGCCCATCCCCCACCCTACCACCCAAAAACTTTGAAAGAACTGTAATTCTTCTTGCTTACCTGCACATTGAGTCACCAAACTGAAAAGCTTCAAAAGGGTAAGATAAGAGGTTCAGGATGCCTAGTTGTTAAGTGTAGGAGAAAGAGCCTCACTTACAAATGCAATTTTCATTTTGTTTGCATGTAATTCTAATATTGGAAAGCACTTAGCTCAGACTTATACCCCCTTTCCAAGCTGAGTTTTCACATGATGTTCAGTAAGAAGGGAAAGAATCTTCTTCATTTACTCTCTGCATGTATTGAAAACCACTTCCCTTCTTTCCTTTATTAAGGCATATAATAATAATAATAATTTAAAAGCCTACATTTGCCTGATGCTTCCCCATTCACAAAGCAATTTTCAATCCATTAGTTCTTTAAGCCCCCATCTCAACCCTAGGGGGTAACTGGGGGAAGGAATGTTGTTTCCAGTTTAGAAGTGAGAAAATGAACTCAGGGGAAGGGGCTTTCTAGAGAACTCTTGTCTTCTGATTTCAGCCTTCTGAGGCTTCTCCTGGCATATTTTATGGACGCATGTTCTGCCATGAGCACCTGCTGTCTTGCCGTTTCCCCCCTAAGCTCCCTCTCCTCCTCCCTGACACCATCCCCTTTCTGAGCACTTCACCCATTCTTTAGCTCCTGGTGCCTTCTCTGCTTTTCCTCTCCAGGCCTGTTCTCCCACAGTCCCGTCACTAAGGACTCTCTCCTCTCTTCCCCTGGTAGCACTTCCTGCATCTCATTCCTTCAAGGCCCTGCTGAGTAACTAGCTAATCTGATAGAACAAGTCATTTCAGGATGTTACCATCTAAAAATATCTTCATTTATAATCCCCTTTTGGAAATACTTGCATGCTAATGAAAACCTTTACAATATCAATGCAAAGGAAGCATTTTAGAACAATCTTAGCAGGGGCAATTTGATAATGGCCAAAGAAGAGAAAGATTTGGAGGTAGCAGAGGAAGTGGTTCTCCATAGTTAAGTATAACCGTTATTAATACATCATATCCTTTTTTAAAAATAAATGTCTTCATTATTACTATGGAAATTGAGGAGGAGTCTAAAGGTCAAATGCTTGAGCCAACCAGGAGTTGATCATTTGTAGTCAGCATGTGGGTCAAGCTCCTGCCATATGTACAGTCTTCTCTTGGTTACCCGGAGGACTTCATAGAAAGAAAGGCAGTGGGGTGCTGGAGACTCAGGGGTGCAGAAACAGATTTCACCTCTTGACGGAAGGAGCAGGAAGTCATATTGAAAAGGACAAGCAAATGGGGTGGGAGAATTTCAAGGCCATTTTGCAATGTACTATGCAGGACCATGGGAGCGGTGCCTTGAAACTGGACTTTGCCCCGAAGAAAGGAAGGGGGTGGTCTTGTTCTGTGATGATATTTTGGATTATTATCACCTAGAAGAGAGAGACTATTCTACAGCCATCATCCTGATTGCTTCGATTCTGCCTTCCTTCTCTCCTTCCCTCCTTCCTTCCTCCCTCCCTCCACCCTTTTTTCTTCCTTCCTCCCCTCCTTCCTTCTTTCCTTCTTCCTTCCTTCCTTCCTTGCACCCACTGTCATCATGCAAGTGATTCCAGCCCTAGTAGCTCTAGTATTACCTTCACCGAAGCAAAACCATCTCCCATTCTGACCGTTGTCCCAGTCCATGCACTCCCTCAGTACTGGGGATTGAATCCAGGGCCTTGTGCTTGTCAGTCAAGGGCTTTACCACTGAGCTACATGCCTGGGCCTTTTTTATTTTATCAGTACTGAGGATTGAACCTTCTTTTTATGTTGTGTTAATTTTGTTTTTTGTTTTTTGTTTTTTTTTTTTTTTTCACTTTTTGATGCTGGAGTTCGAACCCAGGGCTTTCTTGCTGAGCTACATCTCCAGCCTTTTTTATTTTTATTTCTTATTGAGGCAATCTCATTAAATCTCTAATTTGAGCAGACTGGAACTTGCAGTTCCCTGCCTCAGCCTCCCAGAGTGCTGGAATCATAGGCATGTGCACCGTGCCTGGCTTCTCTTTACCTTTGGAATTGGGTAAGATCAAATTTCTCAGCTACTTTCCAGCCTTCAGATATTTGAAGACAGATTTCTGTGTCCAAGCTCAGCACTCCACAACCTTCCACTTCATCCTTACACACCATCTGCAGGCCCCTTGCCATCTTGCCTTCGTGCCATCTTCGGGCAGGCACTTATTGAACAACTTCCTTTTGTGACATTCCACTGGTTACAACAGTCCAGATTTGTTCTGAACACTGCAGAACTCCTCCTCCTCCTCCTCCCTTCTGTACACTGTACATCTGTTAATGCAGCCCACATTTGCACCTATTTTGTTGGCAACTGTGTCCTGATTTTGATTTATTCTGAATTTGCAATCTGATATATTTGCCTTCTTTAAGTGGACTTGGAGATTCTAGAGGGCAGGAACTATAAGCCCAAACCTCCTTACCACAGGCCAGGGGACCCACACTCTGACCTCTCCATGTGTTTCACTTTGTCTCTCCTTAATCTGAATTAAGTCTCCTTCACCCTGGGGGCCAGCTCGCCGTGTTCCTCACTGCTGCCTCTACCAAGCTTCAGAACCACAAGTATCCCATGAAACCCAGATGTGACTACATCATTCCGTGGCTCCAGAGCACTTGTCACCACATGCTGTGAAGGACATGAGGCTTACCTGGCGTGGGTCCTGTCTGCCTTTGTAGGCTCACGTCTCAGCAGCCTTCTATTCCTTTCTCCTAGGCCCGACCAGGAGTAACTAACCATGTCCCTTTGGGAATGGAGGTATCATTAATACAGCACCCTCTGAGGTTTAGTTTAATCATAGTTAGATGAATGCTTACTGCTAGGTTATAAGTGCGCTGGGGTCATGGTTAGTGTTCTCCATTTTCGAATCTCCAGTCTAGCACTGTACCTGTCACAGAGTGGATTTCAGTGAATGTTTGTTGGATGACAGCGATGGTGAGATGCATGCTCTGTGTCCCATCTAGACTAAGGCTAGAAGAGCAGGGCTCAAGTCTATCTTGTGCTGCAACCTCACTGTTTCCAGGCGAAGCTTTCAGGCAATGCATGGTCGTCCACATCTCCTCCATCTTGCTGTGTACCTGTTCTTAGCAAGAACGCTTGGGAAGTGCAGATGAGGGTGTGGACACATGGACATGTCTACTTCCAGATTGTCTCATGGTTCTTCCTTCTCTGTTTTCTCTCCCTCTTTCTCTCTGGTTGGCCCTCTTCCCATTGCCTGCCGTCCCTGCCCTGACCTTTACCCTTCTCCAGTCAGCGTCTGCTTCCCTGTGTGTGTGGAAGTGCCCTCAGAGACAGAGGCCGTCCAGGGCACCCCCATGAAGCTTCGCTGCATCTCCTGTATGAAGAGGGAAGAGGTGGAGGCCACCACCGTGGTGGAGTGGTTCTACAGGCCCGAGGGCGGTAAAGACTTCCTTGTATGTCATGCTACTGCCTCTGGCCTTTCTTTATCCTGTGCTGCTGGGTGCCTGGCTTCTGACAGTCTAGGGGATGTCAGGCCAGTACCCATTGGCTCTTTCTCTTGCAGGTGCTGACAGCTCCTTAGTAGATAACTAAGAGCTCTAGGTTAGCCCAACTTCTGTGCAGGGGAAGGTACCTGGCCAGCTACAGGCAGCCCTGGTTACAAGTAGGGGGAGGAAGACAAAGAGGCTGTACATAGAGCCCACTGAGGACTAGGCACCCTACTGGGAATTTTGCTTTTATTTCATGTTCCACACCTGTCCTACGAGGTGGATTAAATTAGTGGAGAAATTGAGAGGACATGAAGCATTGTTGTATGAAATAGCATAAGTGAGCTTTTTCAGCTTGCAATCCCAACAAAATAAGAATGACAGAGATGACCAAGATTGGTGTTCAACTCATACACCTACCACAGCCGCATCTGTGGGTGAACTAGTCAGTTGGCTATGCAGTGGAGACTTGCTGTGCCTTGTCTCCCAAGTGGCCATGCCACCTTCCTTCCTGTTAGGAATCCCCGGACCTCTCCAGGGTCTGAAAGCTAGAGATTCTCTCCTGGTAGGGTAAGGAGCCTCCCAGACATGGCACCTGGGCCGTAGTCAATGTCAGTTCTGGTTGGTCTGTACCAGTGCTGATATGCTTGCTACATATGTAGAATACCACTTTGGAGATGGCCATTAGTGACGCTGACTCTGGAGTCAGGGTGCCTGGGGTTGCTCCACTATTTGGCTCTGTGTACTTGATCACATCATTCCATGTCTTGATGCTTCAATTTGCTCATTTTAAAATGAGGGTGTGAACTATAGGGTTGTTACCAGGACGCATGAGCCCTTATTTTTATTGCATTTAAAATAGTTCCTGAATATAATAAACACTGTGGTGTTTACTAGAAAAAAGACAGAGACAGAGACAGAGAGACTGAGGTTCAAAGAGGTTAGCTTAGTAATAGTTTCTGTTTGAACCAGGGGTTCTGACAGCAGATCCAATGCCCTTTTTACAGCTCCACTTTGCCTTCGTGCTTGCATGTTCTCCTCCACAGACTTTTCATGGAGACAACAAGTAAAATTGAATATCACTTGCTCCTCTTTCTAGATCTCTAAAGCTGAACTCATTTCTAACTCAAAGTTACATGTGGCATTTTAATTTAAGTTGGTTCCAATCAGATGTCAAGATAAGGACCAGCAGAGACTTCCCAGAACCTGGCTGAGGTTCAATAGTGACACATCAATGAAGCTAAACTGAGGCTTCCGCCCAGCCTGCAGGAAGCTCATGTCTTGGGCAGATGGGCAGGGGCTGTGGGCTTCAGACTGGTCCTATACCAGCTGCCTGCACTGGTTCTGGGTCTGTCCAAACTGAGGAGAAGGTGCAACTGAGGGAATGAACTTTGCATTTAACTTCTAGGAATTTGAAAGTGAATTGAAGAAACCCCATGTGACTGGTAGAATGAACAGCACACCTGTAGAGAGAAAACCAAATGTGTCATGTCAGAAGGTGGAAGGGTCTGAGAAAAGAAATTTAAGAGACCGGATTTCAGTTCTAATTCAACCCAAAGCAAAAGCCCTGCCATGCGCCTCTCGGTGGGCAGCTTCCTGATCCCAGTTCGGCATCCCGGACTGCCTTCCCATGGCTCAGGCCAGGCAGCCCCATAGACCCTTGAGGGGCATCAGCTCAGAGTCAGGATGTATGGACGTGGCTGTCAGGTGTTTTCATTGCTAAGGAAACTGCCTCTCTTGGTCTCTACTCCTTGTCCTCTCACTGGCAGCTTTGTCTCCTATGCACCCCTTCTGTCTCCTTATCACTCTTTCCCTCATTTTCTGCTCTAGGTCTCCTGTGTGCTTTCCTTTGTTCCTACTCTTTGCACTGTCTTTATCCCCAGTTTCTTCCTGTCTCCCCATTTCTGCTTCTTCCCTTCCTGGGTCCTCATGTCTTGATGCCTGTCGGCCTCTGTCCAGTTTTCCACCTTGGCTGTCTTTCCTGACCTCCCCTGCTCCTCTTCTTCCCACCACCACATTCTGGGTCCCCTGGCTTCCCATCCATCTCTTCCTTTCTCTCCTCTCCCGGTTCTACCTGCTCCTGCTCCTCTACCTGCAGATCTTCGAGTATCGCAATGGCCACCAGGAGGTGGAGAGCCCCTTCCAGGGACGCCTGCAGTGGAACGGGAGCAAGGACCTGCAGGACGTGTCCATCACTGTGCTCAACGTCACTCTGAACGACTCCGGCCTCTACACCTGCAACGTGTCCCGGGAGTTTGAGTTTGAGGCGCATCGGCCCTTTGTGAAGACCACGAGGCTGATCCCTCTCCGAGTCACTGAGGAGGGTGAGGCTTAGGCACGGGCTCTCTAGGGTGTCTTGCTTTCCAGCAGTGTGGGTGGGAAGGATGTGTGAGACCCTTGGAGAATGCAGAAACCATGCATTTGAATCTGCCTTCCTCAAGCAGCCAGTTTCCTGAAAACTGCTTGACTACCTTGCTGTTTGGGGCCTTTCTTTAAAGAAAAGTTTAGAGATAACAGCAGAATGACCTCTTCCTGGTCCCACGAAACCTACACTTAGTGACTCACTGATGCCTTTTCCCTGGGCTGTGTTGAACCCCTCGCTCACTCGGCTCAGAGAAATCCTATGTGATTATTTAGAAATCATCTCTCCTTCTGTCTGTAAGCAACCCATACCTCCGAACCAGTGGTTCTGAAGATTCGGCAAGCCCCGAAATAGCTGCCAAGCTTTCTGGAACACAATTTCCTGATTCCATAGAATTTACATTGTCTCGTAAATCACCAGGGGGTGCTGATACTGTGAGGAAGCCTCCTTTGAGAACTCTGAACCAAATTTAATAAGCTTCTGGTCTTTTATCTTTCTTCACAGTAATCATACATGCAACCCCTGCCCCAGCTGTGGCATCTCTACCTAAATCTATTCTCAGGTGGGAGAAGCAGACAAACTTTTAGCCTCATTATCTTTCAAGTCTGCACGCTCCTTCAGCTCATTCTGTGTTTATGCGTGGACGTCCACTCAACAGCTTAACTCAGTGTTCCTCTCGCGGTCTGAGTCCAGATTCTTGAAGGGGAACTTGCAAGGCTCTGGCGCTCACACACTGTTTTGTGCTGCTGCCAGTGGACTCAGAGCCCTGCTGCTCCTGGCCCCATGCAAACAATGCTTCATGTGCGAGAGTGTGACTTGTGCATCTCCCTTTGGGTTTTCTCACCCGGGCCGAATAACGATGCCATTTGGCTCAGCCTTTCTTAGATGGTCTGTTTCCAGGGTGGTCTTGACATTTTCATTGGCCTGAGACTCAAGATGGTAAGCAGCCCAGTGGTACGGAGCACGAAAGAAGAGGTCAAGTTAACGATAAGGCTTTTCCTAGAATAAGGATCTAGGAATCCTAACCGCTGGACTACATGTCCATTTTGTATCATGATAAAATAATGAAGTATAGATTGTTACATATTGAAGGCGAATGACAAAGATGTAACTAAAGCAGACAGTAGGTCAGTTCTGAAGGTGCAGAACACTTAGGTCACTTAAATCCAGACCTGATGAATCACTTCCGCTCTCTGACACTGTTTCCTCTTGTGTGAAAAGCAGGAGTTGGGTGGAAAGCTTTCTAAGGGGTGCATTTGCTCAACGTTCCATTTTCCTCTGTTTACACCCTTTCCTCCCCAAGGAAGGGAGCCTGGCGCCCTCTCCTGTTAACCATTGGGAACTGTTGGTTAGTGCCTGCCAGACCCTAGGAAGGTGGTTGTTTCCACTCCTGCTCTCTCAGGCTTTGGCCCCCAGAGGCAGACACCCCAGGGGGAGGGGGCACAGCTGGTGGAAAAGTATGGCAGAGCTGAGCTAGTCCACCGGCTGAGCCCTAGAGCAGGAGTCAGGGAAGAAGGGAAGAAAAAGCAAGGGTGTGATTAGAGTCACAGAGCCTTGCCAGTGGTGGAGCTGGAAAGAAATGTAGATACTTAGTCCAGGGGAGATTTCTCCAGGCGTAGGCATCTCCATACCACTCTTGCGGTGTGAGTTAGTATGGCTGGGGTCAGGCCTGGTATGGGTAAGTGGAAATGAACCCTTCAGTTACTTGGAGGATCCAGTTCTGGTGCCTCTCGTTTTGCAGCTGACTAACAGCTCTGCAGCAGTGACAGGTTTGCTTAGGGGCATGGAGCAGGAACAGTTTGTTAGGTTAACCCTATTCCCTCCACGTGTTTCCTTCTACCACCACATCCCCACCCCCTGCCACTTTTTCTCTTCCTTTTTGTGCCTCTGTGACCACTTCACAGATCTTGCTGCCTTCGTGTTAGTTGGAGCTACACATAACTTCTCCATGACACACCACTCGTTCCTGTGCTTCCGATTCTCTTTGTTCAAGATGGAGTTCTCCTGGCTTAGGTTCTCATCTCCTATCTCTAAGGAACCTAGGACCTCTTCGCCAGAGGTGAATCCTGAGGGAAGCTTCCTGTGTTACTTCTTCTGGGCTATTGCAGCTAAGCAAAGATAGCATGCTGTAAGCCAAACTTATCATACATAATGTATTGGGTAGTACAAGCCCATGAGAAGATATTTAGGGGCTGTGGCACTGGGATATATTTCATGTTGCGTCTGTGACCTCCACCTCTATTTAGGCCACCTGAGTGATCCTAGAGGTCTTAAACTGCTCCTCTGAGCTGAAAGTCATGGCCAAAGATAATTGCTGTACTTTTTTTTTTTTTTTTTGAGACAGGGTCTCATTATGCAGTTCAGGCTGGCCTTGAACTCACTTTGTAGCCTAGGCTGGTCTCCAACTTCCAAGGATCGTCCTGCCTCAACCTCCTGAGTACTAGGATTACAGGCGTCCGCCACCACAGCCAGCCTCATTGCTGTACTTTTAACAAATAAACGCTTGAGGATGACCTAGGCCCTGTGGATAACTGCAGACCGTGAATTTAATTTGCTGGTGGGAGCTGGCAAGGGGAGGAGTGGCCACAATTTCCCTCCCTCTAGGAAAAATTATAATATCAGGTCATTTGCTATATATTATATTTTAATAATTGTCATTTTTCTTGACCATGAAACAAAGAAGATCGATATTTATTTACATTCACTCATTCAACAAATACTGAATAATTCAAATAATCCAAGATAAGACAGTGGGTTCATAATTCAGAACTAAGTATGAGCTCAATAAGCAGTCAGTAGAAAAAAAGAAATATGCCACAATTCAACCTGAGACTTACTTAGAGTGGGTAGAGGAAAACAGGCATGGGAAAGATGTCATAACTCTGCCTGAGAAGCTGAGGAAGGTTTCATAATGAAGAGGACCTCAGCGGAGTTTAGGAGAACCCTTGGGAGGCTGAAAAGGAGAAGTTTCCAGAATAGAGGTAGGAGCAGGTAGGAGATACAGTGTAGGAAGAGGGAAGGGAAAGAAGAAACATTCACAGATTCTAATATATTGCAGTATGTATGAGTTCCAGCCAACCACGTGAGGCTGGGGCGAGGAGGACTGTGAGTCCTTGCACGCCGGGGCAGTAGAGTTTGGGCTTTGTTGTCGGGCAGCGTGGAGCACTGAAGGATTTTCAGCAGAGAAGGGACAGGATTCCCATCTGTGTTTCAGCAGTAGAATTCTGAGGATAACCTGATGAATATGAGGTGTAACTGAAAAATTTGGTGAATGCTTTTGAAAAATCTGCTGTGAAAGACACATTGCCGTTAATCCCCCCTTAAAATACTCCCCCTTGCTTCAGACCTACTTATCTCAGCATTTTTGCCACTTTCTGAATCAGTTGCCGAAGTCTTTTTTGTGACTTTAGTTGTATTGTCATGGCTGCATCAATGTCCTGAGCTGATTCAAAATGTTTGCCTTTGGTTTTGGGGGAAGAGTTAGAAGTCGCACATTGCCAGATCTGGCGAGTAAGATGGGGAGGATACAAGGTAATGTTTTTATGAGCTTGCTGTTCCATGGGCTATGACTCTGCAGTAGCAATCACCATGTTTTTTTATCATACCTTGTGCAACACTCCAGAAAGAGTGTCGTACTCATTCCTGCTTAGGCTTGGGATGACCTGGAAGGCCTCATTTTTTTATCCAGACATGTAGAGAAAATGCTTCTGTCATTAGGTGGGCTGACTGGGTGTCCATGTATGGAATATCCAGGGCTCTCGCCCTGGGAACACCACCTCTAACTCAGAGTTCATAGATGGTTAGAACAAGGTGTGTTCCTTACCTCTCTGTAGATATTTACATCTCATTAAGATAATCTTTTTAAAATTATTATTATTATTATTTGCTGATGCTGGGGATTGAGCCCTGGGCATCATGCATGCCAGGACAGTGCTCTACCACTGAGCTGTACCACTACCCCACACAAGGTATTCTTTTTCTTTTTTTTTGGTACTGGGAATCGAACTCAGGACCTTGTGCTTGCCAAGCAGACACTGTGCTGCTGAGCTATCTTCCCGACCCCTCACACAAGATATTCTTAAAATGCACTATGTAATGTGATATTCACAACAACCCTGACTGGTATGAGTTACAATAGACCTGAGACTCAAATAAGGGCAATGATTGTTTATATACCAGTAAGTAGCATAACTGAGATCTATCTGTCTCTATCACTCTGATTCCATAATTCTATTTCTTCTTCTATCCAGCACTCTCCTCTGCTCTATCTTTAACAGCCCATGAGAGTTGGTGAGAAAGCTGACAGTGAGGAGAGACAGAGCATACAGTACATAGTTTCTTTGACATCTTATTGAGTTCCATTAGACTCGGTGCTTATTTAAGCTATACTTAAAAATGGCCTTCATACATATTTATGACCCCAGTAACAGCTTTGGTTTGTGGGAAATACATCCTGAACCTCATTCTCCTTCTTACAGCTGGAGAAGATTTCACCTCTGTGGTTTCAGAAATCATGATGTACATACTTCTAGTCTTCCTCACCCTGTGGCTGCTCATTGAGATGATATATTGCTACAGAAAGGTCTCGAAAGCTGAAGAGGCAGCCCAAGAAAATGCGTAAGTCCAAAAATAATAATTATAGCTACCAGCTGGGTGTGGTGGCACCCGCTTGTAATCCTAGCATTTGGGACTGCCTGAATGACATAGCAAGACCCTGCCTTTAAAAATGTATATATATATATATATATAGCTACCACCTTCTAAATGCTATCACAGGTGAGATGTTAAGAAATCAATGTACACCCTTTTAACAACTGAGGCAGGCACCATTATTACCTATTTTATGGGTGAAATACTGAGTCAGAAAGTGTTTGTCTAAGGCCACTGTAGGAGGCAAATTGAGGTTTGAAGTGAGGTCTGCTAACTCCTGGCCTACACACTTAACTACTAAGGCAAAGACCATCAGCTGCGACAACACCATAAAGTTAGCATTACTGTAACCATTTTATAAATGTTAAAGTAGGCTCATAGAAGTTTTATGGTTTGCTGAGGCTAGACACATGGTGAGTGGAGAAACTGGGACTTAAACCCAGGCCTCCCTAATCCTAATGCCCATTCTCTGTCTCACACTCAGTTGTTTGTTCTACACCGTGGAGTTTATCAGTCCACCTGGGCACTGCCCTTCATTCACTGAAGAACACTAAGAATATGTTTTCCTGCCCCTAGAACAAGGCAACAATTGAATACCCTGAGTAGGGACTCTAATATCTGGGTGTTCTTTTATGATTTTCACCAAGACTGTACATACTAAACAGTGAGCACATGTGAGAAATGAGCAAAGGGCCTGGGAGACCATGTTGGCCTGTTGTTTCAGGAGAAGAAAGAGAAAAGAAAACAAAGAAAAGAACCCCACACGTTTCTAGCAAAATTGTTGAGGCAATAGCCTAAAAGGCCACCTGGAAATGTCTGATATAATAGAGCAAGCTTCATTTTACATGACATCTATGATCTCAGGGAATTAAAAACAGTAATTAACCATGTATAAGGGTAGATAGAACTGTCATGCAGAGGAAGGTTGTATTTCCTGGTGACTTGGTTGTATTTTAGCGCTTGAACCAAAAGTGTTCATGTGTGGAAAGGAAGTGCTCATGTGTGGAAAGGAAGCGCTCATGCGTGGATAGGAAGTGCTCATGCGTGGATAGGAAGTGCTCATGTCTGGAGAGGAAGTGCTCATGTGTGGAAAGGAAGTGCTCGTGCGTAGAAAGGAAGTGCTTGTGCTTGGACAGAAAGTATGCAGACTTGTACAGGAAGTGCCTATCACTGGGCCCCCACAAGAAACAGGGTTCAAACTGAAGCCCTCAGCAGAGCCCGAGTCTCCAGAGAGCTGTCACTCACACAAAGGGTAGACCAGAAACAACCAGCCCGCCAGCACAAGGAAAAGCCAAAGAAATTTATCCATGTTGGCCTGACTCCAAGTAGAAAAATAAAATATTCTTGAGAATTACTAACCTCAGGCCTCCTCTTACAGTGTTTGGGATTTACATTAACAATACTTAGATGGTCAAGGAAACTCTCAGCTAAGAAATTCAGTTAAAAATTAGGCCCTAGATGATGATAACCAGAGTATCTGACAAAAATAAGTGAGAAACCATTCTGAAGGAACACACTCTCAGCCAAAACCTGACAGTATTCCTCAGATTAATTACTGCTGGATCTACTTTCACAATCCAGTCTAAAACTAAAAGTCGCTAGGAGTGGTGGCATACGCCTGAAATGCCAGCACTCAGGAGGCAGAGGCAGGAGGATTGTTGTGAGTTTGAGGACAGCCTGGGCTACAAA